GCCTTGGGTTCGATGTATTGGCCCGTGTAGTAGTGCTTGTAGCCCAGCACAATGCACACCAGTGCTACCACGGAGCACGCGAACTGGAGCGTACGGCCGGTGCAGCGAACGATCTTCAGTCCCGGGTGTTGCGCGTCCAAATCCACCGTAGCCGACGCACTGGATGGCCCGTTCTTCTTGCCAGGAGTGCTGGCGATCGCGTAGCCGTTGTCATCAGTCAGAGCAGTCTGCAGGTTGTCGCCGTTCACCGACTTGCACGAGTCACGCACGAAGCTCCACACGAGTGTGACCAGGAACAGCCCACACGTCACGAACGTGAGCACGATGGCAGTGGTCATGTTGCCGCAGCGGAAGAGTGCTGAGCCGTGGTAAGTCTCGAACATGGTGTTGTACGACGAGCAGTCCTTGACCGCATCGGACGTCGCGTGCACGATGCCGGCGACCAGGAGTGCGATCACCAAAGCACCGTCAACGACACGCTGGTACAGCACCTTAGGAGCACTGGAGGTCAGCTTGAGCACGCCAACCGGAATGACGTAGTAGAGACCACAAAGCATAGCTGAGTAGCAGGCGATCGTGGTGTAGATGGCCGATCCGCTGCTCAGTTGGCCTGACGTGAACTTGATGTAACCAAGCGAAGTGAAGATCATGGCCAGCACAGAACAGAGCGCCTGGAGCGCGCGGACACCGAGGCGGCCAGGCGAAAGCAACGTAGTAGTCATCACTGGAGTTGGTTGGTCTCTTAGAAGAGGAGGTAATGTGATCGATGCAAAGTTAATTGCTAAATGAGACTCTGGAAGCCGCAGCTTTTGGTTAATCAAACGATGCAGATAGCCTCCGCTAGCGTCCTATTTCCATTACTGGTTGCGACACCACCATCGGCATGAGAGGATAGCATCCTCTTGTTCCTGCAGCGTCCAACTACGCGTGTCCTGGGACGCAGTGATTTGCTTCAAGGCACGAGGCTCGATCAAATGTCCGTTGACCGCTCATCGCGTTGCTCCGATTCGAATCAGTGTTAAAGCTCGAAGCATACACTTGATCTCGGCGATACATCTGCGGAATCCCACGGTGGTCTCGCTGCACGACGATGGTTGGCCGCTGCCACGAGTCGAAGCACGCTGCTCAGCAAACCGGGCGATGGCGGTTGTTCGTGTCTTTGAAGTGGAATCGCAAGCCAAGGACAATTGAGCTCCGTCTTATCACTACAAGCATCTGCAAGAACTCTTTAGCATCTTTCGTCGACACTTTGCCCTCCAAAAGTGCAGGTAACATCAGCAACGCCTTGATACATGTGGGATCGCATTGCAGGCCGCGGAAGCGATTGGTGCGTGGCGCGTGGTACAGTAGACGACAATCTCGGATGAGTTAGGGATGCGTCTCGTTATCAGAGACCCGCAGGCGCGAAAGATTGCGTTGTTGGTGTTCATTCATCGTTCACCAACAGGAGCGATGAATGTAAATCTCAGCTTACGGTGACAGCGAGGCATCAAGAGCACAACTGGAAGTGGTGGCAGATCGCTGAAACGTGACGGCGGAGGAGAGTAATCGAAGCTCATGACTGGATTACGAGACCACCAGTACGCAGTACGCACATGCACATGCAGCTCTTTGTTGCTGGAGGTTTGCGAGCGAAGCTAGGAAGCTTTGACTCTCGAGGCTGCAAAGTCTACAGCATTTCACAGTCGAATTACGAATCATACAAATGCACAAATTCATAGGCAACGTATTAGTAGTAATTTCATTGTGTTTCCTAATTAAAAAGTTAAAATTGAAACTTAAAAAAACTGACTGAAAATTCAGTCTCACTCCAACAACAAAAAATGCCACAGCATGAATTGTCAGCTACCGCGCTGAGCGACGACGGCTCATCCACGGAAAGCGAATGCTACGACAAGGAACTCCTCGAGTTGGCAGCAAGCGTCCACGACGAGAACCACGACCACAACCTGACCCCAGATTTAACCACTGGCGTGAAAGTGGAACCAGTCGATGCCTGCCCACCAGTCAAATCGGAAAACGCCACAGCGACTGATGAGGCCAAACCGAAGGCAAAAGCGACCTACAACAAGTGCAATCGATGCCGACGCAAACTGCCAATTATCAATGAGAAGGATCAGACGGCGGTGCAAGAAGGGAAAGCAAAAACTAAACGCTGTGTCTGCTGCTGCGAGAGTTTTCCGCTAAGTAAATTCAGTATGGCGAATCGCAGCTCGACACGGGCGATTCCAAGATGTCGCTCTTGCAGCCAAGCGCCCTCAAACATATTGCAAAAACTCAGAGAGATTCCGGAATATGTGGAGGCTGTTGCTGCTGAGAAGCAAATGATCAAGGAAGAGAGAAGCAAAAATCAAACTAAATTGCCAC